ACAGGCTAAAGCTTCCCCAGCAGCAGCAACAACTCCAGCAGCAGCAGCAGCAACAACTGCAGCAGCAGCAACAGCAGCAGCAGCAGCAGCAGCAGCAGCAGCAGTTGTTGCAGCAGCTCAAGCAGCTGGAGAGGCTGAACTTCAAATATTTTTCTGCAGCAACGATGGCCGGTCGTTTGCTTCTGCCGCCAGTGGCGGTGCTGCTGCTGCTGCTGCTGCTGCTGCANCAACCATACGACAGGCTAAAGCTTCCCCAGCAGCAGCAACAACTCCAGCAGCAGCAGCAGCAACAACTGCAGCAGCAGCAGCTGCAGCAGAGTTGCTTGGTTCCTGCTGCAGCACAAATAGAAGAAGACAGCCAGACAAGCCAAGCTAGCAGCAGCAGAGACGAAGACACAGGGGGCGGTGATGTATGGAGAGAGAATGAGGGCTCTACTGAGGAGGAGGGTTTGTATACTCCTTCAGCAGCAGCAGCAGCAAATGCAGCAGCAGCAGCAGCAGCAGCAGCAGTTGCAGCAGCAGCAGGAACAAGTACAGCAACAACTGAAACAGAAACTGAAATTCTCTCTTTAGATGAAACCCATAGTGCTGCTGCTATAGAGCAGGAGTCTGCTGCTGCTCCTTTGGTTGCTGCAGCAGCAGCAGCAGCAGCAGCAGCAGCACCACAACCACCACCAGTTGGTGGTGTTGTATCATCTCATATAGATGTAGAGGATGAGGAGCTCAAGCAGCAGCAGCAACAGCAGCAGCAGCAGCAGCAGCAGCAGCAGCAGCAGGAGCACGATCAACGTATGTATGAATATAAAGAAGCTCTGAAAGCTCAGCTAGGGAGAGGAGCGAAGCAGCTGCACGGCCTCCGCCTCGATATAAACTGGCTCAAGTCTGCGGTCAAGGACCTAGACCTCACCAAAGAAACCCTCAGTAAACCCTAAACCCTAAACCCTAAACCCTAAACCCTAAACCGAGACAAACGCTAAACCCTCGTTTATGGGTGTATATTATAAATATCCTTAGTGCCTTTTTGTGTTTTTAGATTGTTTTTTTTTACGGTTTGTGGTTTGTATTTGCTCCTCTAGGGTTTAGGGTTTAGGGTTTAGGGTTTAGGGTTTAGGGTTTGGGGTGTATGTACAGACCAGCCGCATCCTTCTCAGCCGCTGCTGGACCTGCTGCTGGAGAGAACAGCAACGCTAGAGTCGAGGGTTTCTGCTTATATAGAGGGAAACACAACAGAGTTTACTGAGCAGCTAGCTGACCTTGTTTCTCTTAAACTCTTGCCCCTGCACCAGGTACACAAACCCTAAACCCTAAACCCTAAACCCTAAACCCTAATGGATAGATAGAGTGTGGGGTGTATTCGAAACAACAATACGGGATCAGTGGTATTGAGAGATAAAACAAAAGAAACTTTCATATCTTCTCCTGTGTTATATTATCTAGGGTCTAGGGTTTAGGGTTTAGGGTTTAGGGTTTAGGGTTTAGGGTTTAGGGTTTAGGGTTTAGG